CCTATTCTGCAAGCTCCCTGAAAGTTAACTCCTTTGTCACCAAACCCAGCAATGCCTACTGGGCATGCCCAAAGATATGGTTAGAGCCTCGCACGGAGTTTCACTTCCTCCAGGTTTTACCAGCTGCAAAAGACAGGAGGAGACGGATAGAAGAGTTAAACAGGTACAGAACTTGGTTTGGCTCAGAATGCCCGTGGCCAAGGCAGAGCACGGAAAGCTGGGGGGTGACAAGAGGCTGTCGCAGAAAGCACCTTGTCAGACAGACTTGAGTCTGGTTTACAAGTTGGTGCATTAGCCTGTTAGGTCTTTCTGGCACAATTGGTAGGCAGATCGTGAAGGTTTGAAGATCGCTCAGGTTAGGGCCACAGTAAGGGGTGGGGCAGGGACGTTGGATCTAGGGGAATGCCTGAGACTGTGTGGGTTTTGCTGTCCCTGCATTCCTCGAAGAGCTGCAGCTTTTCAGGGTTCCAAACAGGAGACCAAAGTGCGCAAGTAAACCCGGAGCTCATCTTAATCACTGACTTCTTGCCCCCTTTCTTTTAGCTGCCCAGCTCTTCCGTGTCACCCTTTCAGGTACCCTCGCCCAATCACGACTAAACCCCGGAGAAGTGGAATCTCCACACAGGTTTCCGTGGGTCTAGCAGGGGCCTGGGCATGCTCAGTAGGCTACGTGGTTCTCTGGTTCTCTCTCTCTCTCTCTCTCTCTCTCTCTTTCTGGGGTAGGGTGGGTGGTGACAAGTTAGAAGCTCTTGCGGCAGGTCCCCGCCTCCAGGATCGGGCTTCCCCTGCAAAGGGACGAAGCGGAGGTATAAACACCTCGCACCGCAGCGTCCCGACCTGGAGGGGCTGTGCCCGCGGGCCCAGCCCACCAGGATCTCTGCCTGAGGACGGCCCGCCGCTCTCCATGGTACTGCGGAGAGCTCAGCTCCGCCCTTCTCTTTCAGAAGGACAGCACCCGGCGTCACGTAACCCAGCCTTCTCAGGCTCCACCACCGCCTCCTCCTTCCCAGCTCTTTCCCTCTCTTCCTCCTCCTCCTGCTCCCCTCCGTTGCCTGTTCTCCCCTCCCGCACTCCTGGAGATAGACGCTCAAGCCTGACGCCTCTGAAAAGGCAGCGGCAGTCGCCTTATCCACAGACCTCAGGAAATTCGCTTTGACCGATGCATGCTTCAGGCTCTGGGTCGAGCTAAGGGGAATAACCGGGCAGGTAAAGAAGCTCAATTTGGGTTGGGGGAGGGGATGGGGCGAGGCAAGCTGGAGAAGGATATATTTCCCCCTTGTAACTGAGCCAGGAGCTGCCACAAATGCACAAGGAAGGATGGGTGGTGGGAGGGTGGAGGAGTATAGATCTTCGTTGTTTTGCATGAAGCTTTTTAAATAGATGGCAAGAAGATGAGATGGTGGAACTAGGATAGTAACTTAAAGGCTGAATGCAGTGATTTATTAGCAAAAGAAAGAAAACAGACAAGTTAAAAACCAAAGCAATAAAATATATCTGTATGTACATCTTTATTTCCCTTCCCCATCAGCCCCATGCTGTGCCTATCCTTAATTTGTGCAGTTGACTCCAGGCTCCAAGAAACTGCACTGGTATTAGAGATGGAGCTTGGAGACTGGGCGGGAAAGCCAGGGAGAATTTGGGTGTGCATTGGTATTAAGAGACTTTGCAAAAGCGAGGGGGTGGGGGGGAAAGGCACTTCTAAAAATTATCCCAAAGATTTCAGGTTCTTGGTGATGTATATATTGAAGGATGCATGGAAAGATATGTGTGCATGTGTGTGTGTATGTGTGTGTGTGTGTGTGTGTGTGTGTGTGTGTGTGTGTGTTATAAACATATTAAAATAAATGCAGCTGCAGCGGACGAGCATACTGTATCGATCCTTCCAGTGGCTTGGGAATGAATTTGATTCTAGAAATGAAAGAAAAGATTAATGAGGCTGTTAGTCTGCTTTTGAATTAGAGCGCTTCTTCCTTTGGCTGCAGTAAGGTTGTTTTTCAGATCCTTTTATTTCATCCTCTAATTTGTGAACTCACCAGGTTTTTCCGGCACCTAGAGAGAATCCTCTTTCTCCATATAAATACAGATACTCTTCACACACAATGAGCTTCCTCTAAGAACTGGGAGAGTCAGTTGACCTCCCTGTGGTAAGAATATGTATGTGTTTCCCCCCTCTCCTCCATTCCTTAAAAAATTGTCAAGGTATGCATTAGTGGAGGAGGGAAGGAGAGAGGAGTGAAGAAAGGTTTTGTGATCTATGTAATATTAATTAATAAAATAATCAGCTCCAATACAGTCTCTCTCCCCCCCACACACACACACCACAAAGATTTTCTAACACATAAGCTTCAGGATGGTTTCAAAGCACTACTCTTGATCTTGAAATTTCAGATTTATTTTGCAAAATGACTGAAAAATTGGCAGATGTCCGAGTCCACTTAAAAATGAGAGTATATTGAATAATATGCTATCTTAGGATGATTTTTAAGAGCACCTTTCTTTGGGGTTGGCACAGCAATAGGCAAGATACGGCTGGTGATTGCTGATGGTGTGGAATGTATCAGCCATAATAAATAAGCAACTGAGATGGTTATTTCTTTTTTATTTCTACTGGCCAATGTGTATGTGTCTATATGTGCTGTGTTGTGCGTGTGTGTGTGTGTGTGTGTGTGTGTGTGTGTGTGTGTGTTGAAAAAGAGAGAACCACTCATCAATTTCATCTGGGGAGGAACTTGAAGTGGGATCCCCTAGCTTGGTGGCTCTCAGCTGACACCTGTAGGGATTGCTCTGTACTGAAGAGAAATGCTCTTAGCTCCCTCCATGGAGGAGCAGCAGCACAATGCGGTGCCATAAATTACTGCTAGTTTCAGCTTGTAGGGGAAAAAAGTGTTAATTGCATAGTGAGCTTCTGTGTCCAGGCAATAAATGTGTGTGCGTGTGTGCCTGTGCGTGTGTGTGCAGGGGGTGGGGTGGTATAGTGGGAAATGTTGAGGGAAATGCTTGCATTTGCTTGACATGACCAGATGAACCATTTGTGTTTTTCTCTCTCTCCTTTCTTTCTTTCTTTCTTTCTTTCTTTCTTTCTTTCTTTCTTTCTTTCTTTCTTTCTTTCTTTTGTCAAAATGTAAGAGTAATGTTCTTTTGGCAAAAAACAAACAAACAAACAAACAAAAAAGGCTTAAAAGCAACTCACTACTTATGATTTCTGCACCATTTCAGGAAACTGTCAGATTAGGGTTGGATAAAGAGGTGATTTTATAGTGAGTGATTCAAAGACATGATTTCATATTCTAGCATCCTGGAGACATAGCAGCTAAGGTGTCACACATGCCAACTGCTGTTCTGACCACACAAATTCTAAGAGCTGACAGCCAGATAAGGACTCGAAGAGGAGTAAGGATCACTACACTGTTTGGCAAAATATTAAATTCTTTACCCATCTTTAGAGGAGTTAATGTCATGGCAAGTGAGACATAAATGCTGCCCAAAATAGATATGACTCCAGTTACATGTTTTCTCTTAGAACAGATTATTCTTTTAATAAAAGGAAAATACTTGTGTGAAATGTAAAAGACACCTCCAAGAAACCATCAATGTTCTTTCTTTGAAAAACCTAAAATGGTAGGAATGTTATACAAATTCAAGCCAATCGCAGTTTGATCTGTTTTGCCTGTTGTAAAATCTGTATTAACTGAGATTTGAATAGGATGTATTTTTATTGTCCATGTTATCAGTGCATGTTACAAGCGGAAGCCCTTAAAGGGGCCTCTTTTGCTCCCCTTGTCATATTTAAAAAAATAAACTTTCTCAGAAAAAGTAAAAGATAACCATAAACAAATCTGTATAAAATCCTAAGAGGGTTACCTATTAACAGTTATAATAAACTATAAGGGCATACTGGCTGATTGTAAAAGTGAAATATTAACTATTGGGAGACATCAGGTCTTCCTTGTAGATCAGGACAAATACGCCCCTTCCAATAAGGTTAACTCTGGCTTCCTAATGGCTCTAGTTATATACCTGGTTTCTGAACTGAATGATGATTTATATGATACTATAAATGCTTTTAGAACTTAATTTTTATTTTAATTCTCTGCAGATTTTCTGGGTCCTTATAAAAAGACAAAACCAAAATGCATCACCAACACACAACCAATTGATATGCTGGCATCTTAATTTGGCCTCGCAGAGGCAGAGAGAAAAGAAGAGGAGCTGTTGTGACACCTAACAGCTTCTGGCTATTTCACAGCTTCAGGGTTTGAACCCTACTGTTGGGGAGGGAAAAAGAGAAGCAAAATCCAGCCTGTGAGGCCATGCACAAGGAATTCTGCATTGGCTACAGGGGTGCTGGTGGTCCATGATATGACAGAAGAAACAGGCCTTTGAAGCCACTCAGGGGTTAAGTGGTGCCGTAAAGAGACAAGGAACCCTTTTCTCCCTTCTGGTTTGGGACATCACGTCTGGAGGACAGACACTCGAGGTACGCACAAGTATCCAAGGATCCTGGCTTATTGCTGACTTCTTGTACTTCTCTGACAAGTATTTGCTTCTTAACGGACTCTGTTTCCCTTTTGCCCGGTACCACTGATGGTACCTCGCAGATGATAGTATTCGAGGAGTGAAGCATCTGTTGACACCACCGATGCCCTTGAACTAGGTCATCGGACTCAAATGGATAAGTGACTTCCCTTGACCTTCTGTTAACGCCGTTTCCAGAACGTTGCTTCCAAAGTGTATCCTCCCTTTGGACTGGAAGATCCGCTGCTGCCCTGTACCACTGGGGTCTACGTTTTCCAGTTGGGAGGGGACTACAGGGAGAGAGGGAGGGGTTGCTGGAAGAAGAAGAAAAAAAAAAGAGCTAGATAAAGGAGGGCGCATCCCTCCCACTCCTGCCCATCCCCTTACCCTACTTGTTTCCAGACCCTTATTTCTACGTCACGGTGTCCAGGACCATTTTGACCCTGTCGGCCCCGGCACCCCCCCGCCGCACCCCAGCCCCGAGCATGGGGACGGCGCTTCTCCAGCGCGGGGGCTGCTTTCTCCTGTGCCTCTCGCTGCTGCTCCTGGGCTGCTGGGCAGAGCTGGGCAGCGGGCTCGAGTTCCCGGGCGCTGAGGGCCAGTGGACACGCTTCCCCAAGTGGAACGCCTGCTGCGAGAGCGAGATGAGCTTCCAGCTCAAGACTCGCAGCGCCCGCGGTCTCGTGCTCTACTTCGACGACGAGGGCTTCTGCGACTTCCTGGAGCTCATCCTGACGCGCGGCGGCCGCCTGCAGCTCAGCTTCTCCATCTTCTGCGCGGAGCCCGCCACGCTCCTGGCCGACACCCCGGTCAACGACGGCGCCTGGCACAACGTGCGTATCCGCCGCCAGTTCCGCAACACCACGCTCTTCATCGACCAGGTGGAGGCCAAGTGGGTGGAGGTCAAGTCGAAGCGCAGGGACATGACCGTGTTCAGCGGCCTCTTTGTCGGGGGGCTGCCCCCGGAACTGCGCGCTGCGGCGCTCAAGCTGACGCTGGCCTCGGTGCGGGAGCGAGAGCCCTTTAAAGGGTGGATCCGTGATGTGAGGGTCAACTCCTCCCAGGCCCTGCCAGTGGACAGCGGCGAGGTGAAGCTGGACGACGAGCCGCCCAACAGTGGCGGGGGCAGCCCGTGCGAGGCTGGCGAGGAGGGCGAGGGCGGGGTGTGCCTCAACGGAGGCGTGTGCTCGGTGGTTGACGACCAGGCGGTGTGCGACTGTTCGAGAACCGGCTTCCGCGGCAAGGACTGCAGCCAAGGTAAGGCCCGACGCCTGACCCACCGGGGGCCTCGGCCTGGGCAGGGCGCGGGGAGGCAGGGCGAGGCAGGCGGGGCCGGCTGGTGCATGGGGTCTTCCTTCTCTGGACAGTGTGTTGCAGCTAGTTTGCAAGGTGAAGACCTGTTTGTGGCCTCTCGGCCTTATCACCTCCCACAGCTCCTCCTTTGGCATCCTCTTAATGGTTTTTAAGCAGACCCATTTCCAGGTTCAGATTCCTCCTGGGAACCCTTTGTGTCAGCCCCACTTCCTTCCAAGTGGCAAGTACAAGGACCTCTCTTCAGACTCCTCGGGTTGCTAGGCCGCTCCCCATCTTCAGAGGGCCATGGCCCACCTGAATGACCGCTGTGCTTTCCTCTACCACCTCTAAGTCTGTAATACGCAGGTGTTCCCCATAAGATGCAGACAAGCATCTGCAAGATTGGGCACACGTTTGGTGAAGAATGAAGTGCAGGGGTGGTTCAGTATGGTTGAAATCTCCACGTTTGTTATTCATGGTAAAGGACAGGGGGAACAGGATTCGTAGGAACTGCTTTGCCTTTTATAAGGAAAATGTAAAGTCCTGCTCCTGGTTGTGGAAAAATGGGGCAGTGGGAGGGGGCACATGTGAAAATTGTTTTGATTAGAAGGAGGAGGGTTCTTGGAATTAATGTTAATTTCTGCGGTTATGTCCACGTCCAACATTTGTCAGTTTAGGAAAAATTATGTGATTTCTCTGGTTTCTTGAAGTGGGAGACAGGTCAGCTAATATTTAGAAATGTTAGAGATTAAATAACGTATTTCTCAATTAGCAGATGCCTTGGGAAGATAAATAGCACAGAAATTTAGATGTTGTTGGACTGGGAGGCTTCTGTAGGCTAATAAAATAGGGAATGCATATGAAGGATTGCAAGAGATTTCCTGAGTATATTTAGCTAATGATATTTATCTGAGGCCAGGCTGTAATTTCTGTTGTTTTTAAGGATTGAAACAGTGCAGAGTTAAACACACACACACACACACATACACTCACACACAAAAACCATACTTAAGTTTTATTTTCTCCCTTTCATAAATAAAATTCAGTCATTAATGTGTGTCCAATGTTGCTACATGACAATGACCAAGGAAAAATATTTTATAAATACCGAAAAACCTATGAACAGAAAGTGACTGATATGCAAAAGATAAAACATGGATTTATTTGTGGCTGAGAAGGAGAGATGTCAGGGTTTAAAGTAGATAGCTAATGGGTCAAATCAAGACAGTCAACACATGGATAAATGACATGTATGACTGAAGTTGTTTTTAAAACAACTAAATCTGATTTAGCTGTAAGGACAAAAGCTTTATGTGTGGCTGTATTTTATTGTATAATGTCCCCTGTTTTTTGTTTTTTGTTTTTTGTTTTTTGGGTTTGTTTTTTTTTAATTTTTTTTTTGCTGATACCAATAAGAGGAAGTAGCCCTTGTAAATCTTATTAGACTTGGCAGTTGTCTCTCATTTGACTTTAAGAGAAATGAAGACTTGGTAAATTTATGATAGTTTAAAGGGAGTACTTAGAAAGAAAAAAGCTGGTCATTAGAGAAAGAAGAGTTCTGTAGCCTTCATGGGTTTAAGAGGAAAAACATGTAAAGGGTTATTTTATTATTCTCTGCCTTCATGAAGGTTCCCCCCCCCCCATTATATTTTGGCTAAGTAATTGTAGAAGACTATGTATTCTATGGCCTATACTGCACTTCAGCTTGGCCAGTAAATTTCCATGGATTTAACACCAGGCTTTATAGTTAGGTTTTACCAAATAAAGCCTAATTTTATTTATTACAAAAATAAAACAGTACATGTTTTTTCTCTCCCAAATCTCATTTAATTGTAAATCTTGAATGAAATGGCTACATACGATGATTTGCTTTATGATGATTTGAAGTTCCATACATCTGCACTGATTAATAGATATAAATTTTGAAAAATGAACATTATTTTATGGGAATATTGCTCTAAGTATCCTAACGTCACTTTAAAATACAGAGCAGGCAGTTTAATGAAGGACACTTGAGATATAACTTCCTTCCTTAAATTAGGAAACAAATATGACACAATGACAGCTTGTTCTGTGTGGGAGGGTGTTTTAAGTTAAATTTTTTATTTTTTTGTGCATTTTAAATGTAGGGAACCAGGGATCATGCATAATCAGGAACACTTAAGAGTGGAGAAAGCATGGCAAAAGTAATATGTTGAAGAGAAGCAGAATTAGATTTTTCTGAAATGCATTTTATTTTGCCAATGGATAACTTTCCACAACAGGAAGAATTTAGAATTACCAAGATACATAATTGTACAGTCTAGTACCTGATGCATAAGGTAGTTCAATTCAGAAAAGAAAAATCCATCAGGATGGTTCTGGAGCATTGATTCGTTTTGAAAATTTGATCTGGAAACAGAGTGCAAAGATCACCACTAGTCATGAAAGGAAAACAAAAGGCTGGATTCTTCTGATTATCACAGAAATGAGAGATGGAGTGATAAAGGCAGAGTTGATCAGCCCAGGAGGATTGGCTCCATTTTGTGTATTTTCTCTATTTCATGTGTGTCAAGTGACTATTAAATAATTAATTGAGAATGGATGCCTCTCTGAACACCAATCATGTATTGATGGCTAGGGATAGATGGTTTCTATTCAGATGAAGTATAAGCAAAGCCCTGCCTGTAGCCAGTATTTACACTGATTGCCACATTCTTTTTAAAAACTAATTTAGAAGCAAATCCACATTCATTATAGAAAATTTAGGAAAAAAATTAACAGCCAACATTAAATAAGATTCAAATTACATCTAGTTCTGACTAAATTTCTCTATTAATTTAATATTTAGTATCATTTGGTTGACTTCATATTAAAAATACAGTAAGAACTACTAAAAAGACAATGATAATATTCTTTCTCTCCTTTTTTTTTTCTGGCCCAGAATGTGTTGCCACAACTTCTGTATCTATGGTTTTCTAGAATATTTTTTATTTAATGAGCTCTGTTTCATCCTTACTCTACTTTATTCAGGCCTAGCAAGTTTTATATATTTATTTATGTAGCAATGGAAGGAGAACACAAGAAAGGTTATGTGTCATGACCAGGTTAGTGGTAGAGCCTGCTTAGGAGTACAGGCACTTGTATTCTAGAGCCTTGTGTTCTCTTCTCTGCTCAATAAGATTTCCATTTTTTTATGATTGATTTTTTTTTAGGTTCAGGCATTATTCAGG